GTGGAGGGGACCCTCAGTCGTACGTCTCTCCGTCGCATCCGACAAAGTCGGTCATTTTTTTTCCACGGGCCACAGTGACCATACAGGCATGCACGCCAAAATTTGTCGCATTCCGACGCTGTAAGGATTTTCTATGATTTTCCGACCCGAAAACCCGAAAAACACTGTCCAAACGTAACGCAACGTGCGTTCGTAGTCCGATTTCGTTCATCTCTAGCGTGCGGTACCCGGGTGGGTCCCCACACGCGTTGGCAAAAGTTGGGTGCATTCCGGCAAACCGCACTGGCACTTGCTGTGCAACCCGGTGGTTTCGGTGCGAAAAGGTGTGTACCGAACACCTTTTTTGTGTAACTTGAAAACATGCCCAAATTTTTTTACCGCATTGTATCTACATGAGAATCATGCGTGCCAATTTTATGTGCATTTTGGGCCTGTTTGCATTTTCTACGGTTTTTGGCTTCGACAGTACAAAAACACTGTTTTTAATTCAAAATTATTTCATACTAACTTTTTTAAAAAAAATTACGAATTCCTTCTTCTAATTTCCTTTTTTTCCTTTTCCTTTCTTCCTCTCTTCATCTTTTTTTATATAACTTTTACTATTCTTTCAATTATACCGGTAAACTATTTAATTTTAATTTCCTTCGGGTCACTTTTATTTTATAAAATGATTCACTTTTTTTCATAAAATTTCATACTAATTTACATTCCAACATAACGATAAACGATAGTTCATTCAACATAACGACAGTTCATTTTACATTAAAACATAAAAAACTATTAAACATGACTTAATTAAACTTAATTAAACATAATGACTTAATCCTAATCTACTCGTCGTCGTCGGAGTCGGCTAGGTCGACGATATCGCCCGCACCGACGTCATCATCGTCGTCACCGTCGTCGTCGTCGCTGCTCTTGCCGTCGTCGTCCCAGTAGCCGTTGTCGCCCTCCTCTGGAGCCACCTGCGGCTGCACCGCTTCGATGGCCGCCGCTGCATCCAGTGCAGCCTGCGGCTCGGCGGCCTCTGCTGCCGCCGCCATAGCCGTCGCTGCCTCTCTCGCCTCCGCGGCCGCCGCCACGGCCGCCGCTTCTGCCTGCGACGCCCGCAGTGCGATGAGATAGCCGGGGCAGTTGTCGGGGTCGCCGTCCTCGCGCAGTGCGAACTGCTCCGGCGGGATCTCGACGACGGGAGGGGAGGCGGGCCGGGCGATGGCGGGAACCGGACGGCGGGACGAGCTCGGAGACGGCGCGGCCGCCAGAGGGGGACGGCGGGGCCGGCGCGGGGCGGAAGACGAGCCGCGCGCGGCAGACGACGAGCCGCCCGGGCCCGACGACGAGCCGTCGGTCCGCGACTCCCGACGAGCTTGCGTGACGACGGCCCAGTAGTTCTTGCCCTTCCAAAATCTTGCGCGGCTGACGATGTTCCACCGGCCGCCCTCGTGCTGGCGCAGCTCGTCCGGCGTCGCGCCGGACCCCCTCGTCGGGTACCCGTCGGCGGTGATGTGGAACACGTGAGGCAGACGGCAGCCCGGCGGCACCATCATCCCGAGACGGATGAGCTCGTCTGCCTCCGGCGTGCCCAGGCTCGTCGGTCACAAGCTACCGCCGCCGTCGGACGCCATGGAGGCCGCCGGGAAAGGGAGCTCGTCGGCGGTGGAGCGCGTCGGTGGGTGGGGTTAGCGGGGCGAGGCGCGTCGAGTGGAGTGGGGGGAGGCAGACGGGGCGACGAGCGGCGTTTTAAAGACAGGCGTCGGTGGGTGGGGGAGGTCGTCCGGTAGGTGACCGACGCCCGGCTTAACGCCGGCATTAATGGCGCATCAGGCCGGCGGCCGTCTTGGGAACCGCCCTTGACCGACGCTTAGACGGCAAGCAACCGCCCGTCCCCACACGTCGCGTCATGTAATTATTTTTTTTCATCCAGCCGACGCCACGTCGCCACGAGTACGTCGCGTCGTTTTTTTTTCTTTGGTCGTCGTCGTACGTACGCGGACGGACGCGTGTACGGGGTAGTCGACGTACAGCCCCGTCGCGCGGGTACGGCCCCGTCACGCGGGCGGCGGCTTTTTATGTGCTGGGGCAATCCTACCCTTTTTAATGAAGGGGTACGGATCGATCTCAGCCGTTGTTGTATTTAGGGGGTTGTACCGAAGAAGAAGTGTATAGAATATCATATAATTGACATTAATATAAACATTATGTGAGTGATATGTGTAAATCTAGCTACGTAAATACACGGCTTGCTACGCTAGTTTTACATGCTATAGCAGCCAGTCCTCGCAGATGTTAACTGTATCAAGCAGAACTCTGCTCATAATTGTCGTAACTGTCCATGAAAAGAAGATCTGAAAGAGGGAGTGGTATGTTACTCATGTGGATACTGAAGCATGAAACTGACCATGGATTTCAGCCATCAAATGGGTCACTCGCTGAAAGATCAGATGCTCTGCGGAAGCACCAAGCGCTGTCTCCCTGGCGTGCGACAACCAACACCGTCATAGGGCACTCGCTGACCCTTCTTGCCATAGCCAAAGCTTTCAGCTTGGTGCACGTCTCATCATCCTCCAATGCAGTGTCTCCGTTGACCAGACCGACCACCAGTTTCTCCAGCATTTGTGTTCTCTCAAGGATGAATCTGAGGAATGCAAGCTCCATGCGCTTCCCTCGGAACTGGCTGAACACCACCTTCTTGACGTGTGCCTCCAGGCAATCAATAGGGGCTACCTCCTGCCAGAACTTGAGGTTGCACTTACCACTGGGCTCATCAGCTTCATCGGACTGAAAAGATCAGTGTATGCTCAGTGTACACAAAGTTCTTGTAACAAGATATTTTGCATGTACACCATCATCATGTTCCAAATGCATGAACAAGCATCCAGCACTAACTAGTAACTAAGATTTTTTTTAATTAACATATCATAAGTTTTTTTATGCATAAGCAAGGATTTTTATCACCATCAACATTTCTTTTGCATGAATAGACAAGTTACTCTCTCGGTAGTTTTTCAGATGAACAAGAAATTTTCTGGTGATTGTTACAAAAAAATGCACGCACAAGAAATCCCGATCAACAGCTTATCTTTTTTCTGTGTACAAGCATTATATTTTACTGCCATGAAAAAATGAACAAATTTCGGTTTTCGGATGACCAACTAAAAGTATTACACATTTTTTCAACATTTTATCAAACAAGCCAGATCAATTTTGTAATATCAAATAAATATATGATGCATATTTGTTCCTTGTTACAGTTCAACCAAAAAGTAAAAGGCATGCTCATTACAAAGGTACTCCCTCTGTAAATTAATATAAGATCATTTAGATCACTACATAATTGTTGGAGCATGATAAACGAGGGGGTCTGAAGCATGAACGACATATTTTTCTGCATGAAACATGTATATGGAGCATGAACATGCTATATATATGATTAAACAAAATATGAAAATATATCTATGGATCACGATGAAACAAATTGGATCTGGACATAAATAACGTGTGGATATAGATCATGAACATGAGGTTATCTCAAGAAAGGAGAAGGAGGAGGATGGAGTATGTGTATTTCTTACCATGACGTGCAACGTCTCGACATTGGGAAAGCATCTCAGGAAGGTGGGGAGCATCTTGGTCTCCTTGCGGATTCCAAATCGCACTTTCAAAGCCAATATTTTAACACTTGGAACCATGTTAGCCGGGCTCATCCTTGTTCCAGGCTGCAGTAAAATTAAGACTCAATGAGACTGGAAATCATTCTTGGAATCAAGGGGGACACATATCTCTGAGCCATGGTATACTATGTAGTGGTGAAAAATTCAAGCAGCGGAGGAGAGCTAGGGAGCACTAGGACACCTGGATGACGGTGTTGCCGATCTCTAGCGCGTGTATGCTTGGTTCCAAGTAGCCCAGGACGCGCAGCTCAGGGGCGTAGCCAATCTTCACGTTGGTGGGGAACACGCCGCTGGGGGCACCCGGGCACGTCTGCCAGAGGATGAGACGCTCCAGACGCGGGGTTGCCACAACGGCGACTTCACGTGCCATGGACATCCACAAGACGGCGCAGCGGAGGCTGCGGCTGCCTACGCGGACGTGAGAGGAAGGGTTGGTGCTGAGGATAATCGCGAGCGTCTCGAGCACGGGGCTACACTGGAGCAAGTACTCGATCTCCCCAGCGCTGATGACGGTGCTGCAGAGGCCGATCTCCCGGAGGTGGGGGAAGACCTGAGGGCCGGCGGGAAGGCCGGGGATGTCCGGGAAGTACCAGAAGCCGAGGTAGAGGCGGCGGAGGGATGAGATGAGGAGGACGTCGGCGGGGAGGTACACGTCGAGGGGGAACGGCCTGTTGACGAAGATGAGGTCCTCCACGCGTTTGTCGGCGAGGGAGCGGAGCCAGCGCCGCAGCGCGCGGTCGTGCGGGGCCATGTAGCAGCAGGTGAGGTGGACGCAGCGGAAGGGGCCTGGGTGGGAGGCGATGATACAGGGGTGAATAGCTCCCATGCGACGTCGTTGGTGTGAACTGTCTCTCATGCGACGTCGTTGGCTGTAATAGCTTGCATGCGACATCTTCGTTGGAAAAAATAGCTCCCATGCGACACACCATTTACGCGGCCAGTTGGCTGTCCGTTAGGCTGAGATTTGGTTAGAACACTGGGGGTTATGTGCTCTGACTGGTGGGGTCCACCTATGGCCACATAGTCAAGAGTCAACCGTCCACGACTCGACCGGCGACTGTGTGACCGTGCTCGACTCGCCCGTGCTGGACTGGGCGAGCGGCGCCGCCGTAAGCATCTTCTCCGGCAGTGGTTTCTTTTCCGCGGTGGTGGAGCGCATTTCTCGGCAGCGGCAGAGCTATTGCGAGGTGAGCCCGAAACCCTAGTCCCATTCCCCGATCTGTGGCCTCATGCTGCCCTCTGTTTCTTGGCGATTTAGAATCGGGCTCCATTGGATCCGGGGGTTGTTTCTTCTCCGCGGCCCGGTGGTGGAGCGCCTATCCCTGCAGCGGCTATTGCGAGTGAGTATTTTCCAAACACTACTCCCATTCCACTGAATTTTGAATAAATCTGTGGCCTCATGCTGCCCCTGTTGCTTGATTGGATAGGAGATGGAGCGAGGGCTAGATGAGATGGAGCGAGGAGACGGGCTGCCCCGAGGAGACAGTGCTTCAAATCGGTAATGGCACCCTCTTTTCTTGGCGATTTAGAATCGAACTCGATTTGGTAGTGACTGCCGCCGCTGCCTGCCATTGACAAAACAGGGGAGGTTCAGGTTCTGCCACCACATTCGCAATTATAGTGGAATTTTTTCCCTGTAAAGCCAAGCTCAGTGATGGCAGTGTCCAAGACATTGATAGAGATACCACCGTGAGGTTGGATGTCGATTTTGCAGATGTTGATCCCCAGGAATTGGAGATCATGAAGGAGAAGGCCGTGGGCAATTTGGTGGAGAGAATTGGGGAGAGTATTGTTTGGGGTCCAGAACAAGAGGTATCTCTGCAACGTTTCGATAACTATAATGGTGAATATGTGAGAATTGAAGATGGAGAATCCATGGTTGCTGAAATTGATCAGCAAGGAGGATGGGCAAGCAAACAAGTAACATTTTATGCAGAGCTAATTGATCTGCAAACTCATTCCAGAGTTGGTTATGTGCTATCAAAGATGGCTGCACAGATGGAAGATGATGAGTGGGTTTCACAAAAGAAGATGTTGGCATTGTTGACTGAACCGACTATAGTAGCTGAAGATACTGGGATTGATGCAGATGGAGAGGAGGGAACCCATGGTGCTAGGAAGATTGTTGTTGACTGGAATGTAGTAGAGTTGAATGAAAAAACAGATTTGGTCATTACACCAATATCTGACATTGATATGGCCGAAATGTTTGGCATTCAAGTTGATGACAAAGATAAGGAGAAGGATGACAGTTCTTTGCCAGCTGAAGGTAACATAGGCCCTAGAAATGCAAATGAGGATGAAGAACACCTGATGAGAGAGGCTGCAGATGATGTGGATGATGCAGATGATAATGAGCTGGTTTGTTTGTATGACAAAGAGAACCCAGTTATTGAGGTGGGAAAGTTGTGGCCAAGCATGAAGGAGTTTAGGATGTCTTTCAGGACCTATGCAGTGAAAAAAGAGTTTGATGCCAAGACTATGTGGACTGATCGAAAGAAATTTTATGCTCGGTGCAAAGGTTATGATGGTGGTGGCAATCCTTGCAAATGGTACTTGTCTGCCAGACTACAACCTGATGGAAGTACAGTAAGGGTAAATCAAATACCACACCAGCATACATGTATGACCACTTCACAGAGAGTTTCAAAGATGACATCACAGCTTTGGGTTACAGAGAAGATTACTCCTATTTTAGCCAAGACTCCAAACACTACTGCAAAGAGGCTTAAAGTTGACTTGGAGAAGTTGTACCCCATCCAGCTGCAATATACCACAGTGTGGAAAGCAAAACAAAGGGCCATGAAATCATTGTATGGTGACTGGGCAAATACATTTAGGATGTTGTATAGTTTTAAAGCAGAGGTGGAGAAGAGGTCACCTGGGAGTGTAGTGGAGATGGATACAGAGGTAACAGAGGATGGCAAGGTTTTATTCAGCAAGTTTTTTATGTGTTTGAAGCCTTGCATAGATGGATTCAAAGCAGGTTGTCGTCCATATTTGAGCATAGACTCATCTTTTTTGACTGGAAAGTGGAATGGTCAGTTGGCTGCATGCAATGCTCTAGATGGACACAACTGGATGTTCCCAATTGCAATAGGAATGTTTCAATCAGAGACAGAGGCATCATGGATATGGTTCATGATGCAACTGAAAAGATGCATAGGGCCAGTTTCTCCTTTGGCCATCCACACAGATGCATGTAAAGGGTTGGAAAATGCAGTAAAAAGTGTTTTCCCCCATGCTGAGCAGAGGGAGTGCTTTGGACATATGTGGATGAATCTGATAAAAAAATTCAGAGGAGATGAATTTGGGCGCATGTGGCCAGCAGCAAGATCCTACACCAGACAGACACATTCCTATCACCTTGGTAAGATATTGGCATCATGTAGTGATAATGAATTTGCTTCATGGTTGAACACCCACCATTCTCTGTTGTGGTATAGATCAGGTTTTAATACTGCCATAAAATGTGATCATATCAATAACAACTTGGCAGAAAGTTTTAACAACAAAGTGAAGCATTTGAAAGACTTGCCTGTGCATGACATGGTGTACCAAATAAGAATCATGATCATGCGTTTGTGGGAGTTGAGAGGAAAAATTGCTAATATTTTGGAAGGGGACAAGCTTCCAGCAGTGGTACAACAGGTGGTCAATAGGAGTAGAAATCTTTCACATCTATCTGTTGAGAAATCTTCCTTGTGGGGTGCTGAAGTTAGAGATACAAAGAGTGGCAAGAGGCATGTGGTAAATACTGAGTTGCATGAGTGCACTTGCCAAGAGTGGCAACACACTGGAAAACCATGTGAGCATTCCATACTTTTTTTGGCATCTAAACCCAGGTTAAATATGCACCCATATTTGCATGAGTATTATTCAGTACAAAAATTCAAAGCTGCATATGCAAGTCCAATTCCTGCACTGACTGACCAATCTCAGTGGCCTGAGGTGGAAATAGAATTTACCTTGTGTCCCCCTGTCACTAGAAGAAAGGCTGGGAGGCCTAAACAGAGCAGATTCAAAGCTTGGTTTGAGAAAGGTGGTTGTAGTAAGAAGGGGGAAAAGGAAAAGGAAAAGAATGATAAGCCCAAAAGGGCTCAAAAAGGTAACAAAAATAGGTGCAAGTTGTGTGAGGTACTTGGGCACAGAATTGGTTCATCCAAGTGCATCTACACTCCTCAGAGGCCAAAGTATGTTTATGTTACTGTTTTTGCAAGTTTTTGATTTTGCTACTTGTTCTAGTATCTAACCAAGTCAAATGCTTTATTTTTTAGGAGGAAGCGTGCAGAAAAAGCCCCACCGCTTGTTGTTGAACACTGCTGGCCAGTGAAAAAAGCAAGACTCAGTGGCTATAGAAGGAAGAGCACTAAGCAGATAATGTTTGGTGACAAAGATATGGAGCTAACTGAAACTGTTACTGCTGAACATGAGCTAAGTGTTTGTGTTTTGGACGATGTGATGCATACTGAATCTGTTTTGCAGACGCTAGGGCAATCTGAAACTGTCGCAGATGAAGCAACTGTTGTGCTGCCATTCGAATCTGCTTTGACAACTGTGTTACCATGTTTGGAGGTTGTGCTGCCAAGTGTTGAGTTGCAAACTGAAGTAGTTGAACAATGTGTGCCATCTACTCAATCTGCAGAAGTGCAAACTGAAGAAGTGAGACATGGTCAGGTGCAAAAGTTGAGGGGGCCAAAAAGCAAGAGCATCAGCATCAACAAACTATGCGCCGTGGAACCAAACGGTGGAAAAAAGCAGAAGAAATCGAGTGGTAGAAAGAAGCAGAAGAAATAGAGTCGAAAACATTCAAATTTGATGTGAAAACTTAAGTTTGTTGTCATTTGATGTGAAAACTTATGTTCTTTCATGTCATAACTTATGTGCTATGATGTTGATTTGACTTGAAATAAAATTCAAATTTGAACCGATATTCAAATTTGAACCTATCTTCAATATTTTTTGAGTTCATTTGTTTGTTCTGTGATGTTGCATCGTTTTATGTACTACTATGCACTTTAGTTCATAAATCCAACCCTTTTTGTGAATTCCAGCTCATAGTCCCGGACAATGTTGACCAAACAGGCTCCAAAGTAAGGGAAACGGCCCCATTTCTAAGCAAGTTTTTTTCGACCTTCTCAAAATCACCCAAAAAAGATTTTCTTAGCTTATATTATACCTATATAGGATCAATACGAAGTCTCACCTTTTTTTGAATAAGTATTCATATTATTTAATTTATTTTTGAAAAAACACCCTTTAATACAAAGTTAGCAATAAAACAAGTTTAAAAATTTTAAATGCAAAAATAACTTCAGATCCTCCTTAGTCACTCTAAAATGAAGCTAAGGTGATGTTTTTGATTTTTTTGCATTTTCAAAACCTCAAACCCTGTTCTCACTCCTGTGAACTCCATGCAACCTCAGTCGAGATAGTCCAATTTGTGAAGGTTTTTTCAAGCAAAGATCATTAGATCAAGTTTATCATTTTATATCATAACTATGTAACATAAAAAGGCTATATGCGCAGGTTTTTCATTTTTTAGATTTTTTTTGAATTAGTTATACACATTTGAATGTTCGGTCAAACCTTTCAAAACCCCATTGACTGCCTCCAAACCCCATGTAACCCTAGCGCCAAACGTCCACCGTTGATCTAACCCTAACGCCAAACTGCGGCCGTCGGATAGGCCTTCTAGAAGGATTCCGTGGGGGCGATCCGTGGGCTCCAATCTGATTGGCCACCGTTTTTTCTCTCTGACGAACAAATAACGTTGAGCGGGGGATCATCTAAGTGACCGTTGGGCCGAGCGGATCGGGCCCGGCAGAGCCTGGCGTGCGTGCGCACGGCCGTCGAGAGGGGGATGGGCTGCATGCGAGAGGGTCAATGACATGTGGGCCATCCCTGTTCCATGCATGCCATGCAACGTCGCAGCCTAGCTATTCTTTGCTCGTGAACACCTAGCCCGCCATTGCATGCACGCATCGACGCAGTAAAGCACGGCAGGGGCGCAGCGTATAGGTACGTCGCATCTAAGCTATTTTAACAAATGCATGTTTGAACGAGACGGACGCGTCGGTGGTGCAGCTCCTTTTTCAGTGTCACGCGCGGATGAACGAGCCTGTTTCCCACGCGGCGTCACCGCCGATGCAAGTGCACGAAACGATGCAACTCGCCTGTGCTGCCCGTGCCTCTTTGGATGCTCTGGTCGCCGTTTTTTGAATTAATGCCCGCAATTACTTATGCCAGTGCGAACGAAGAAGAGAAAACGATCCAGAAGGCACTGTGTACACATTGACCACAGCTGCAACGCGGCTATAAAAGGGCACCATTTCCTCATCCTCTCACACTCATCTCTCAAGCCTCCTCCCCTTCTTCTTTTCGAGCCAAATCCCACTCGAGCCACCATGCAGTTCAACGGCCCTACCTACCGTCGCCCTCCCACCGTGCCGGAGAGGCAGTACCCGGCCGGAGTCGTCGTCGAGAATAGCCTGAGGGTGTGGGCCATCTCTAGGTGGAGGGGCCCTAGAGAGTTCGCTCGCTTCTTCCTCCAAGCCGGCTACCGCCACCTCTCTCCGGGCACTCCGCCCATGTTCCACCTCCACGAGCAGTACGATGGCAACGCCAACGGCCTCGTCATCGGCCTCCACGTCACCTTCACCAACCCCTACGACGCTCACCACCTCCTCGGCCAGGTGTTCTGGTGTGGATGCGAGTTTATCGCGTTCACGACCTACAACATCTTCACCAACTTCCACCACATCTTCCCTCACCCCAATGGCATGCACACCCTCCCCTACCAGATGCCGGAGGATGACGAGTGAGGGCCCAAGGAGGAGGGGCCAAGGAGTGGCAAGGAGGAGGGGCCAAGGAGTTGTTCAAGGGGCGAGTCTTCTATCTATCTAGTTTGGGGCTCTAGTTTGTGTTTGTGTTGGTTCGGGCGTGTGTGCCCGTGTCTTTTATATATCTAGTTTTAATTATTTTACTTTCATGTTTTATGAACTATATGTAGTGGGGGATGCCCCTCTATATGTTTTATCTATCTATGCTACTAGGGTACCCGATGCCCCACTATCTATCTATATGTTTTTTGGTCCTAAAGTTTCTCCATTGCATTTTATTTATGTGGCCATGTGTACTAAAAAACAATTGATCTGGTATCTAAAATGTACGTTACCAAGAAATTGACAATAAAGATTATGTACTGTACTACATAATCATACAGTTGGTATACAATGCATTTGAAGACAATGGGCAAGAAAAATGCTAATTATCTGGTGCTGATGACATGCGCAAGTGTTGTTTGATGTTTAAATCATGCTTGCTATGTCATTTTTTGCTGCCAAACATGGCATTAGCGAGAAAGGTCATTTGGGCACTGAATGTATTAAAGTATACACCATATATAAAAATGTCTAGCCAAAAGATTTGGGTGTACACCCATGACCAAGTATGGATCCGCCCCTGGTTGTAAGGGGATGCCCCTCTATGTTGTAAGGAGATGCTACTAGGGGCACACTAGATGTCTTCTTTTTTGGGCACAACCTTTTTCGGTTGAAACACACGAGTAAAAACTTTGAAAACACCATAGCACAAGTAAAAAAATATATTAAGAAATGGTGCTTAGTTGAAATAAACTAGAACCAAACAATTGCAACTTTTTTGGTTCACAAAGACTGCTCAAATAATTATCTCAAATAGCTTATGCATAAAAATATCTCAAATAATTATCAGATGAGTTATCTCAAAAAAGGTGACTGCAGGAAACTTAAAATTTGTGAAATGATCTAAAGCCGAAAAGATATATCGATGTCAATGACCGTGTGCACTTTTTTTGCACTCCTTTTATCAATGGGCCTGGATATGTTCTATTCGGCCCTGCCTAACTTCTATATGGGCCTGGCCTTTTCGGGCAACTGTGGACGAACCTTTTTTTCTTTTCTCCCTCTACCACTGAAACTGAAACTGATGACGAACTGAAGAAATAAAAAACGGGGCCGAAACAGAGTGGAGAGGACATGCTTAATTCATACAGCGCAACACTTTTATTCAAATGTACATATCATCCCGATTACAAATGATGCCCAATCTATTCACTTACGACTAATTATCATCACATAAACAAATGCGAGACCAATTACACAAACATAAAAAAGTGCGGCCATGAGCCCCATCAAATTGCCCTGCTTCTGCAATTTGATGAGTTTCTTCATCTGCTTGTTCAGCTTCTTCAGCTCTGCCGTCACTCCTGCATCCCCCACAGTAGCACCAATGGAAGGGCGGGCGCCCCCGATGGAATTGCCAGATCCAGGGGCCCCGGATCCAGATGCGCCCGATCCAAACTTGCCCAACTTCTCCGCCTCCAACAGTAAATCGAGCTCCCCTGATGCACCCTCCAGTTGAATCCGCTCTATGTACTCATCTAGCCACTCAAAATGGGTGCATTGCTTCAATTTCTGAAATCGGAAAGATGAACCCTAAATCCCAAATCCGATGGGGAAAAATGGGCAAATATGAAATTGGGAGACAAAAACCAAAATTGGCATATTGAGAAGTAAAATCTCACCTTTCCCTGCTCTGGTTTGCTCTCGCATTTCACGAATTCCTGCCCAAGGTTGCCATTCTTGTCGGTCGTTGTGACTAGCCGCTTCAGGGGTGCGATACGTGGGCATGCAGGGCATTTTGTCATGGGCACTGCGCCATAGCGCGGCCATGAGCGGCGGGAGGCTGAAGCGGAGCTCGACATTGCTAGGTCGCGGCCCGGAACGGCGTTGCTGCGCGTCGTCGCCGGAGAAAAAGAACAACAACGGTCGGGGAGGGGGAGGGGGGAGGATGGGCTCGGGTGCTGCACGGCTCGGGGCACGACTCGGTGTCCTCTTGTACCAATGCTGACCTGGATAAGTTAGTGGGTCCCACGCTGTGGGTCCCGCTCACCTGACCAATGCTGAGTTGGATAAGTTAGTGGGTCCCGTGCTGTGGGTCCCGCTCACCTGATTCGAGTTTTAAACATGTGTCTTTGGATTAGGCAGCAGTGTCGCATGGGAGCTATTTTTTCCAACGAAGATGTCGCATGAGAGCGATTACAACCAACTACGTCGCATGAGAGACAGTTCACACCAACGACGTCGCATGGGAGCTATTCACCCGATGATACAGTCGACGGCGGTGAAGATGGCTTCCCAGTCGATTCTCGGTGGGCCGCCGGGCTGGAGGAAATCGTCGTTGCCGGGGAGACCGAGGGCGAGGAGGTCGGTGTCCTCGAGGACGAGCGGCGTGCAGGCCCAGAGGCGGCGCCAGCGCGGGGAGAGCGTGGTGGTGCGGGCGGCGTCCTTGGCGGGGAGGCGGGAGACGATGTTGGAGAGTAGTGCGTTCGGTAGGCTGCTGATGCGGTCCTCCGCGGCGCGCCGGAGGAGGATGGGGATTGGGCAGAGAGGGAGAGGGTCCCACGGGCGGCGGAGAAAGGAGGGTCGGGGAGGCAGGTGAGGACGGTGGACATGAGAGCTTCAATGGGCAGGCGCCGCCCGGATGAGGGGCGACGGCTTGAGCTTGGCATCACTGACGGTGGTGGGATGGAGGACGCGGTGGCGGTTTAGTTTGCTGTGTAGGGTTTGCCGCATCAGATTTTCTGCCAAACTATACTGGAATGTGACTCTGGTGCCACTTGGGAGTGACCAATATGGAATATGCTAACAGGCGAGTCTTATTTTGCATCAATTTATGCCTAACCACATACAAAGCCCAAATCAGGCAATCATTTTAGTGATAAAGAAGCAGCAGCTCTATGACCTCAAGTCAATCGCATACACTATCAAATTTTGGCGACAAATAAGCCAGCAACACTCAAGCATGGCTTGCCTGCACCTTCATGGTTACTTCCAAAAACGAAAGGAATTAAAACGATTCATGGTTACTTCCAAAAACGGAAGGAATCAACAAGATTAATTATTGCAATTACTGAAAAGCGGACTAGTTTGTGCCATCAGCTTAACCTTTCAGTGGCAACACCAACATAAGTTCTTCAATTCCGGTGACTACGTCTACATGCACCTTCAACATAAGTTCATCAGCTCAACCTTTCAGAAGCTTCTGACTTACAGCACATCCGGGAGAGCACATGCACCTTCATTCTTCAATTCCATCATTAAACGCCGGCAATACCAAAGGCCGCAGATAATCACAAATTGACAAATCACATGAACGATACAATACATAGTATGCTTCAATGTAAGTTCTGAGATATAATGGATCATCATTGCAGAAAATTACTACTACTAGATTGTAGCACAAATTTGCAAATATCACCTGTACTAATCGGCACAAGTAAGAAATACAGTAAGACATTTCAACTAAAAATGCAGCACATGAAACGAATTCACGAGAAAATGGGCACACAAAATCACATGAAACGCACAAATGTCTGCAATTTAGCCAGTTGGGTACAATTCAGCAGGAGCAAACATTGCATGGACTACTGGCCATCTAGCTGCTGGACCAGAAAACTCTACTACCATCAAGACAAAACATAAGCCAAGAATTCAGTCTAAATAAGTGCTCTTGCCAGCGGATAACTCAAACAAGCAAAGTATGTTGCAGTTTAGCAAAAGAAACGGCAATGCTGTATCACGATCAAAACATATCAGCTACAGATAGCACCTTGATCAGCTTCAGCTATCAAATGGGTCACTCTTGGAGAGATTGGACGCTGCGCGGAAGCTCCAATCACTGCCCCCACTGCTGCGCACCAAGATTGAGAATTTTGAGTCTCTGCTGGCACGCTTGGTGCTGCAAGCCAAAGTTTTCAGCTTGGCCGCCACCCTCTCCTCTGAAGCAGGGTCTCCATCTGCCAACACGACCACCATTTTTTGCAGAAGCTGTGCTCTCTCCATGACAAACCTGAGGAACACGACCTCGCTCCGGTTCCCTCGGAAGTTCTTGAACACCACCTTCTTGGTGTGTGACTGCAGGCATTTGATGGGTCCGACATCATGCCAGAACTTGAAATTCAGCTTGCCAGTGGGCTCATCAGCTTCAGCAGACTGCAGAATCAGCATTTAACTAGTTGGATCAGATCAACCAGACTGCCCCGACACAATCATCAGATAATAAGTTGAGTTGAGACGGTGTAAAATGCTAAATTAGGAGATTGCAAATGGAATCTCACCATGACATGCAATGTCTCGACATTGGGGAAGCATCTGAGGAAGGTAGGCAGCATCTTAGCCTCTTTGCGCACTCCAAATCGCACCCTTAATGCCAGGATCTTGACACTTGGAATGGTGGTGGTGGGGCTGGGCCTTGTGCCAAACTGCAATTTGTGTGCAATTCAGTACCAATCATAAATATGTGGATCAGTGCATATGCAAATAGCTAAGAGTAAACATGATAAGTCCATTAAAGGAATTAAGCTAGCTAGACCTCGATGACGGTGTTGCCGATCTCGAGCACATGGAAGCTTGGCTCCAAGTAGCCGAGCACCTTGAGCTCCGGCGCGTAGCCAATCTTGACTCTGGTGCGAAAGTCCTTGCCGAGCCAGGCACCAGGGCAGTCGTTCCACAGGATGAGGCGCTCGAGACACGGGGCGACGACCACGGCTAGCGCGTCCGCGAGGGACATCCAGAAGAGCACACAGCGGATGCTGCGGCTGCGGACGCGGACGTTGCGCGGCGTGTCGTAGCAGAGGATGAGCGCGAGCTTCTCCAGGACGGGGCTGCACTGAAGTAGGCGGTCCAGGTCCTTGGTCTTGATGTCGGTTTTGCAGAAGCCGAGCTCGGCGAGGTGCGGGAAGACGTGGGCGCCGCTGGGAAGGTCATTTGTGTCCGGGAACTTGTCCCAGAGGCCGAGGTACAGGCGGCGGAGGGAGGCGACGCGGAGGATCTCCGCAGGGAGGGTGTTCTTGAAGGGCCAGTTGGGGAAGTTGATGAGGACGAGCTCCTGGATGGACTTGGCGGCGAAGAGGTGGAGCCAGCGGACGAGCGCACTGCCGCCGCGAGCGGACGCGTAGTTGCAAGCCGTGGTGAGGTGGACGCAGCGGAAGGGTCCCGGGTGGCCGGAGAGGATGCGGGAGAGGGTATTGGTGAGGGCGCGCCAGTCGATGAGGCCAAAGGTGTCGCCGTCGTCGTCGTCGTCGGCTTCGGCGAAGTCATCGAAGATGTCGGTGTCGTCGAGGACAAGAGGCGTCGATGGCCGTAGGCGGCGCCAGCGCGGGGAGATCGCTGCGGTGCGCGCGGCTTCCTTGACGGGGAGGCGGGAGACGATGTCGGCGAGCAGCGCGTCCGGGAGGCGGCTGATGCGATCCTCGCCGCCGCCGCCGGGGCAGGTCGAGGAGAAGGCAGCGGAGAGGGAGCCGTCGCCGGTGGAGGATGGCGCGGCGGGGACGCAGGCCAAGATGGCCCGCATGATGCCGGCCATGGTTGCTGGCATCGTCACCGGCCTCGCCGGGAGGAGACGAAAGAGAGGGTTTTCAGGAGTGAGGGAGGGAGCAGGTGGAGACGGAGAGACGGTGCTCGGCCTTGTCGTTTTGTACAAGGATGTAGGGTTTGGTCGCTGGCTGGGCCGAATGTCGGTCCGACTTGCCTGCTTCCTTTCCATGCTCCCATATGTGCTCCTACTTTATCCTACGGTTGTCTTTTTTTTTCTTTTTCTAATTTAATCATTCCCTAATTTTAAGGGGGTGGGGCTGGGCCTTATTTTGTTCCAATCGAAATAAACCACGTACACGGGAGCACGGATGAGCACACGCCGGGGGAGCAGGCAAGTCTCATCCCCGAATGTCGTGGAGCAAACTCTCTTCTGGGCCCAGCAGATGATTTCCGTCAACCTGTTTCCAGTTTATCATTTCAAATTACCCTAAAAAAAGTTTATCATTTAAAATACGCTTGTCCCTGCCAATAGTTCCCTCTTGTTAGGGTTTTCATTCTCTCGGAGGCGACTACACCACCGTAGAGCTCGCTTCTTCCCTGCCGCCATTCCCCCCTTGTTTCCTCTCAATTCGGACTGAAACGGGGCGATCCTTGCGACCGCCACCCCGTCTTGGTCGGGACACATCGGGGCTACGACGTGCTAGGGTTCCCACCCAAACCTTGATCGCTCCAATCGGGCTAGGAACCAGATGGAGAAGAGCGCGCCATCAGGTTCGGCGTCCGCTTCGACGTCGGGATCAATGACAGTCAACGACGTGGAATCGTTGATGAAGGAATTAGGGTTGCGTGAAGAAGACTTGGATGATGTGGTGTTTGATGAGAAGGAGGCGTCGCCGAAAGCCACTAGATGGATGGCGATCGCCAGGGTCCACATGGATAAACCATACAGCCAAGCCTGGTTCTTCCAGAATATGAGGTCAGCATGGAATCTTGCTCGAGATGTGAAATTTAGGCCCTGAGAAGAAAATCCGTATACTCTCAGGTTCTTCTGCCTAGAGGACTGAGAGAGGGTTAAAGAAATACGCAAAGAACGGGAACTGGCATCGGGCACTAAGTTAATAGGTTAGTCCATAAAAATGATACAAAAAGGCATATAAAGCATACAAGATTGGTAATATAATAGCATGAAACAATAAAGAATTATAGATACGTTGGAGACGTATCACTCTTGCGGAATGATTCCGCCGGGAAATCCAAGCCATTGTCATCTCCAACGTTCCTCTCATCGCTATAGGACTCATCTCCATCAACATCTTCACCAACACCATCTCATCTCCAAACCCTAGTTCATCTCTTGTATTCAATCTTTGTATCAAACATCAGATTGGTACCTAGGAGTGCTAGTAGTGTTGATTATGTTTCGTAGTTGATGCTAGTGAAGGAAATATGCCCTAGAGGCAATAATAAAGTTGTTATTTTATATTTCCTTATTTATGATAAAGGTTTATTATTCATGCTAGAATTGTATTGATCAAAAACTTCAATACATGTGTGAATACATAAACAAATATTGTGTCCCTAGTAAGCCTCTACTAGACTAGCTCGTTGATCAAAGAAGGTTAAGGTTTCCTAACCATGGACATGAGTTGTCATTTGATAACAGGATCACATCATTAGGAGAATGATGTGATGGACAAGACCCATCCGTTAGCTTACCATAATGATCCTTCAGTTTTATTGCTATTGCTTTCTTCATGTCAAATACATATTCCTTCGACTATGAGATTATGCAACTCCCGTATACCGAAGGAATACCTTGTGTGCTATCAAACATCACAACGTACCTAGGTGATCATAAAGATGCTCTACAAGTATCTCTGAAGGTGTTTGTTGAGTTGGCATAGATCGAGATTAGGATTTGTCACTCCAAGTATTGGAGAGGTATCTCTGGGCCCTCTCGGTAATACAAATCATAAGCTTGCAAGCAAACGACTAAGGAGTTAGTTGCGAGGTGATGTATTATGAAACGAGTAAAGAGACTTGCCGGTAACTATATTAAACTAGGTATCAAGATACCGGCGATCGAATCTCGGGCAAGTAACATACCGATGGACAAAGGGAATTACGTATGTTGTCATAACGGTTCGACTAATAATGATCTTCGTATAATATGTAGGAGCCAATATGGGCATCTAGGTTCTGCTATTGGTGATTGACCGGAGAGGTGTCTCGGTCATGTCTACATAGTTCTCGAACCCGTAGGGTCCGCACACTTAACGTGCGATGACAATATAGTATTATATGAGTTATGTGATTTGGTGACCGAATGTTGTTCGGAGTCCCGAATGAGATCACGAACATGACGAGGAGTATCGAATGGTCGAGAGGTAAAGATTGATATACATGACGAGGGTATTTGGACATTGGAAGTGTTTCGGGGGGTACCAGGTACTTATCGGGTCACCGGAAGGGGTTCCGGGCACCCCCGGCAAAAAATATGAGCCTTATGGGCCAAGAGGGGAAACGCACCAGCCACACGGGGCTGGTATGCCCCTCATATGGGCCGGCCTAGGAGGAGAAGGAAAGAGGGCAAGGGAAAGGAAAGACTGGAATAGGATCCCCCTTCCTTCCCTCTCCTCCCCCCTCTTTCCTTCCCCCTCCGACAAATATGGCAGGGGGCGCGACCAAGGGCAAGAGCCCAAGTAGGATTCAGACCTACTTGGGGCGCCCCTTGGCCTCTCCCCGCTCCCTCCCACCTATATATATGAGGAGGGGCACTAGTAGAAAACATGGTTTTGGTTCAGGCCGGGCCAGCCCATTAGTCCCGGTTCAGCCTAGAACCGGGACCCATGGGGCATTGGTCCCGGTTCGTGAGGCCAGTGGGGCTGCCGGGCCTCGTGGGGGCATTGGTCCCGGTTCGTCTGGTCCCTTTGATCCCGGTTGGTGGGACGAACCGTGACCAATGGGCCTCGCTCCTGGCCCACAACCATTGGTCCCGGTTGGTGGCTTGAACTGGGACTAAAGGGTGTCCTTTAGTCCATGTTCCAGCCATGAATCGGGACCAATGATGTGCCTATATATACCCCCTCGCCGGCGAGCAGAGCACTCCACACTGTTCTGTTTTTTCTGGCCGGCGAGGGGTGGGTTTTGTGGTGCTCTAGCTCACCTCCTATGCACATGAGGTGTTCGATGGAATGCCCGAGCCACACTACTTAAGCTTTCTCCTCTCCAACCTCGACCTCCAAGCTCCATTTTCCTCAATATTTGTCTAGGTTTAGCAGTCCGTCACATCACATCCCCGTCTTCACCGCCTTCGATCGCCCGCGCTGATCTCGTCGCCGGCACCACCGTGGTGAGCCTCTTGTTCTTATGTTCTTTCTGAAAGGAAAAAATTCTTACTTGTATGTTTAGATAGATACTTGTATAATTTTCTTACTTTTATTATTGCTTCTTATTATATAGTGCGATGGTTTTGGTATCCGCCCCCGTCGGCCCTCGTCCTGTCTATGATTTAGAAGTGGTATATATTATATTTTATAACTATTTGGTTCATTTATTGTTTATGACAATTATGCCGACCAACGTGACATAGATTTTATTTATCTAGGAGGTATGTGAACCGGAAATTCCAACTGACCCTATTGTCGAGAGGTTAAATTTAGTTTAAGAAGAAAACAATTACTTGAAGGAAAAAATAAAAAAATTGAGGAGGAGAAGATGATATTGGAGTTGCATGTTGCGGATGTCGTCGATGATCACAAGATCAAGATGGATGCAATGCGCTTGAAGATTAGAAAGATTAGAAAATATGCCATTCATACCGAGGCTTGGTATCATTATGCCGTTGGATCAATTGTTACCTTGGTTGCAATTCTGATCGCATTTGTTGTTGCATTGAAATGTTTTACATAGTTTCAATGTATGGTTTAATTAGATGCTCTGGAGAGTTATATGTTGTTCAATGAGAACTATGTATGTACTTTGGTTTTAATGTGATTATGAACTTCTATTAATTTGGTCACTTATCTATTCCTGATGTTCTATAATGGTTTTTGACACACTTAATTATATATTATGCACACAGATGAACCGGCAATGGATGTACGGTGACAGACACACCTCCGAGTACATTAAGGGCGTGCATAATTTTCTCGAAGTGGCTGAGGCAAACAAGCATAATGGTTTTATGTGTTGTCCATGCCCTGTATGTGGGAATATGAAGTCTTACTCTGACTCGAAAACCCTTCACACCCACCTACTTTATAAGGGTTTCATGACACACTATAATATTTGGACCAAGCACGGAGAAATAGGGGTTATGATGGAAGACAACGAAGAAGAAGAGGACGATGACAACTATGTGCCCCCTGAATACGGTGATCCTGCAACGGGGCAAGCTGTTGAAGATCAAGAGGAACCAGACGATGTGCCCAATGATGATCTCTGTCGGGTCATTGTTGATGCAAGGAGACAGTGTGAAAGTCAAAAGGAGAAGGTGAAGTTCGATCGCATGTTAGAGAATCACAAAAAAAGGTTGTACCCCAATTGCGAAGATGGCAACACAAAGCTCGGTACCGTACTAGAATTGCTGCAGTGGAAGGCAGAGAATGGTGTGCCTAACAAAGGATTTGAATGCTACTAAAAATATTGAAGAAGAAGCTTCCAAAGGATAACGAATTTCCTGATAGTACGTATGCAGCAAAGAAGGTTGTATGCCCTCTAGGATTGGAGGTGCAGAAGATACATGCATGCCCTAATGACTGCATCCTCTATCGCGGTGTGTACGAGGATTTGAACGCATGCCCGGTATGCGGTGCATTGCAGTATAAGATCAGACGAGATGACCCTGGTGATGTTGACGGCGAGTTCCCCAGGAAGAGGGTTCCTTCCAAGGTGAGGTGGTATGCTCCTATAATACCACGGTTGAAACGCATGTTCAGAAACAAAGAGCATGCCAAGTTGATACGATGGCACGGAGAGGACCGTAAGATAGACAGGAAGTTGAGAGCACCCGCTGACGTGTCGTGGTGGAGAAAAATCAAGAGAAAGTACTGGGGGGAG